GTCGAACAGATGTGGTAAACGTAAATCTCTTATTTCTGATTTTAAGAGACAATCATTTAGTCTTTCACTATTAAGTATGATGTTAGGTATAAAATTTTTGTAGATGCTCTTTATCATGTTGAAGAAATTCTTTTCTATTCCTAGTTTGTTGAGGTTTTAAAAAAATCAATAGGTACTGAATTTTTTTCAAAAGCTTTTTTGCATCTATTCTAATGAGCATGTTTTCTGTCTTTCTTTAACAAAGTGTATTACAGTAATTGATTTTCAGATATTAAACCAGGCTTGCATTCTCAGGATAAGTCTTATCTAGTCAAACTGTATAATCCTTTTTATACGTTGCTGGATTTGGTTTGCTAGTATTTTCTTAAGGGTTTCTTGGCATCTTAATGTATGGGGAATATTGGTCTGTAGTTTTTTATAATGTCTTTGTCTAGTTTCGGCATCAGGTAATACTGCCTCAGAGAATCAAGTGGGAAGCTTTCTTTCCTCCTCTATATTCTGGAAGAGTTTGTGAAAGATTTGTAAGCAATTTTTGTTAAATGTCAGGTAGAATACTCCAGTGAAATTTTCTGGGCATAGGCTTTTCTTTTAGGGAAGATTTTACATTGTTGATTCAATCTCTTGTTTTAGATTTACTTAGATTTCTATTTCTTCTTTTTGAGACAGGGTCACTCTGTTGCTCAGACTGGAGCGCAGTGGTGTGATCACTGTAGCCTCGACCTCCTGGGCTCAAGCAATCCTCCCACCTCAGCCTTCCAAGTAGCTGAGACAACTAGCTAGCCATCACACCTGGCTAATTTTTGTACTTTTTTCTGTAGAGACAGGTTTTCACCGTGTTGCCCAGGCTGGTCTTGAACTCCTGAGCTCAAGTGATCCACTTGCCTCAGCCTCCCCAAATGCTGAGATTACAAATGTAAACCACTGTGTCCAGCCTCTATTTCTTCTTGTGTCCATTTCATTCCATGTCTTTCTTGGAATTTGCTCATTTCACATAAGTTAACTAATTTGTTGGCATGCAGTTATTCATAGTATTCCTTTATAATATTTGTAACTTCTGTAAGATTGATAGTGATGTTCATGCTTTCATTCCTGATTTTAATAATTTGAGTCTTCACTGTTTTTTCTTGGTGTCATTAAGGTTTGTCAATTTCTTGATCTTTTCAAAAAACTAACTTTTGGGTATACTGATTTCTTCTATTTTATTTCCTTTCTATTCATTATTTCCTTCTTTATGATTGCCTTGGGTTTGTTGTTCTTTTTCTACTTTCCAAAAGTACAAAGCCAAGTTACTGACTCGAGATTTTCTTTTCTAATATAGGAGCTTACAGCTATTCCCCATACATTGCTTCCACTATATCCCAGAAATTTCGATACTTTTTTTCTTTTATTTCTTTTTTGAGACAGAGTCTCACTCTGTTGCCCAGGCTGGAGTGCAGTGGCATGACCATGGCTCCCTGCAATCTTGCCCTTTCAGGCTCAAGTGAACCACCCACCTCAGCCTCCCAAGTAGCTAGGATAATGGGCATGTGCTACCACACTTGACTAATTTTTTTTTTTTTTAGGTGGTCTCACTACGTTGCTAGGTTGGCCTTGAACTCTTGGGCTCAGTGGTCCTCCTGCCTCAGCTTCCCAAAGTGGTGGGATTACAGGTGTGAGCCACCACACCAGGCTCTTGTATTTAATTTTCATTCATCTCAAATAATTTTCTAATTTCTATTATTTCCTCTTTTTTAATCCATTGGTAACACAGTGTGTCATTTAATTCTCACATAATTGTATTTTCCAAAATATTTCTTATGTTTGTATTGTGGCCTGAGAAAATACTTTGTATGGTTTTAATTCTTTTGAATTTTTTGAGACTCGTTTTATGGCCAAGTATATGGTCTATCCTGGAGAATATACCATATGCACTTAAGATGTCTAGTCTGCTATTGTTGTTAAAATGTTCTACAGGCATTACTTGGGCCAGTTATTTGATAATATTGTTCAAGTGTTCTACATTCACGCTAATTTTCTGTCTGGGTTTTATCTATTATAGAGAGTGGATTGGCCCGCACAGTGGCTCACGCCTATAATCCTAGCACTTTGGGAGGCCGAGGCAAACGGATCACCTGAGGTCCGGAGTTCGAGATCAGCCTAGCCAACATGGTGAAACCCCTTCTCTATTCAAAATACAAAAATTATCCGAGCATGGTGGCACCCATCTGTAATTCCAGCTACTCTGGAGGCTGAGGCAGTAGACTCGCTTGAACCTGGGAGGCAGAAGTTGCAGCAAGCTGAGATCGTGCCACTGAGCTCCAGCCTGGGTGACAGAGTCAGATCTGACTCAAAAAAAAAAAGAGAGCGGACTATTGAAGTTTTCATTTATTATTGTTGAATTTTCTGTTTCTCCCTTCAACTACCTTCTCTTCATTCTTAACAGCTACTCCAGAGTGATCTTTTACAAAAATAAGGATTGCATCACTCCTCTTCAAAACCCTCTACTGCCTTCGTATCTCATTCAGAATAAAAACCAAAGTACCTGCAATACCGAAACGTCTCACAAAATGTGCTTACCTCTCCCTGCATTCCACACTACCCTCCCTCTCCTGTTACCCAACCATTAACCTCCCTGCCCCCTTGCTTAAATGAATTGAACGCTTTGTCCACAGGATCTTCGTGTTTCTTCTCTGTTTGTAATGCTCTTCTCTCGGATGCCTGCATGGCTCCCTTCCTCACTTTCTTCAGATCTTTGTTCAAATGTCCTACTCAGTGAGGTCTTCTCTGCTCACTCTATGTTCAATTGTAATGTCTGCTCATTTCCCCTTTCTTCATTTTTTTCTCCATAACACTTTTCTCCATCTGTCATAATGTATATATTGTAATCATGTAAATAATTTATTATTAACTGTCTTTTCTCACTAGAATGTAAACTTCAAGTGCATAGGGATGCCTGTTTTATTCTCACGTATCTTCAGCACACTGCCTGTCACATAGGTGACCAATAAATGTATGCTTCATGAACAAATGAATGCCCTGAGCACTGTTTGAGGAAACCAGTCAGCTGACAAGTAGACTAAGTCAGATTCATTGGTTAATCTCAAATGCACCCTAAACACTAATTCCTTCTGTAAGACTCTGCAACTGTGAACAATCATTTTCTTAAAATTCTGTCATTGCTATTAAAATTAACTGTAGTAATGCTGATTTGGTTGAGCCAGCTCATTGCTCCCTTCCATTTTCATCTTTTCCCTCTCTCTTTCCAAATACTTATTGAGCATTTGCTATGTGCTAAGCACTGGATACAAAGTGGTAAACCTCTAGTGACAAAACCCATGCACCTATGAACTATGCAGTATAACTATCTGAAATTCACCATGCCAAAGTTAATCAGACCACTGCCCCTAGTTGTTCCTTGTGCAGTTTACTTTCCAGTTTCAATAATCTTCTCCTAGATAGACCAAAATTAAATAGAACTCTAGCAAACAATTTACATTGAACCTTGCCAAATTCATGCACATAAGTCAGCTTTCAAACACAGTCAGCCCTCCATGTCCATGGGTTCCACACCTGTGGGTTCAAACAAACGCTTATGGAAAACATTTGGGAAAAAAAACTTAGGCCTGGCATGGTGGCTCAGGCCTGGTGCGGCGGGTCACACCTGTAATCCCAGCACTTTGGGAGGCCAAGGGGGTGCACCTGAGGTCAGGAGTTTGAGACCAGCCTGGGCAACATGGTAAAACTCCGTCTCTATTAAAAATACAAAAATTAGCCAGGCACGGTGGTACATGCCTGTAATCCCAGCTACTTGGGAGGCTGAGGCAGGAGAATCACTTGAGCCTGGGAGGCAGATGTTGCAGTGAGCTGAGACTGCATTGCACCATTGCACTCTAGCCTGGGCGCAATATAATAAAAAAAAATAAAAATAATATGGTATAATTATTTATATAACATTACATTGTATTAGGTATCACATCAATAAATAATGTAGAGATGATTTAAACTGTTAGGAGGATGTGTGTAGGTTATATGCAAATACTATGCCATTTTGTATCAGGGACATGAGCATTCATGAATTTTGGTATCTGAGTAGTTCTGGAAGCAATTCCCCCAGATATAGAGAGAGGACTGTACTACAGAAGTGAAAATTTAAGCATCACAGGTATTTTAAAAATAGTTTGAAGAAAATAATTGGTAGCAAAATTGCATCTATAGATTTTGAAGTCTAAGTACAAATTAATAGCATTAAACTAGTGTCTGATAAACGTTCTTCACATTACATTTTACACTTCCGTTACAAATCCCAGTACTAAAACTTTTAAAGGCATTTCATATCAACTATTGTGCAGAAATATTTTTATGGCATTGTGGTTCATTATAGTGGTTAAAGTTATTGTCAGTTTTCAAAAAATAAGATCTATTTCAAATATTCCTGGCATATATGAAACTTTAGCCAGAGTAATTTTTCTAATTCCTAAAAGGGTTTTTGTCTTTTGTCAGCAAGTACTGTAGTCAAAATATTTCAACCACAGATTCTTCTTATTCCATCAGAGTACAGCCAAGTATCTGAATGATACCTCAGAGGTCCAGAAAGGACACTATAGCAGTCAGCAGAAATATTTTAATCTACTCATCAGACATAAGTCTAATTGCTCCCCTATTTCATTTGGCAACCAGAAAGACTGTTTTGAGAAAAAACTTTGTGGGTTTCTTTTTAAACAAGCATAACCAAGTGCTAGTTCCCTACCTGACTTTCCCGTAAAATTTTACGGGTTGATCTGTAAGCAGTTTCACTAGAAATCTAAGGACATGACAGAATATCAGTGAAGCAAAATCAGCATAATCACAGGACAAATTAAAGTAAAAATCCAAGACTCAGTTCGAGGCAATTCAGCAAAGTTGTACTATGACCTGCCCAGAAACAAAGCAAAATGAAAATAATCCCATGAGTCCGTGTTCCTGGAAAACTTAGCAGAAGCAAGATCACCAGGAGAATGTGCATATTTTGGTCTGGGACTCACCCAAATAGTATAATAATCAAAGTTTGCTTAAAAAGGAGATTACTTCAGGAACTTCCGGTGACAACCCTGGTTTTCTTCTGGGAGAGTCAAAGCAGAACCAGCAGCAGAAACAGTGCAATGGAGCAGTGCACATAAGCCTTTTGGTCTTGGGAAATCTTTACCTGTCAAAAAATTACCGAGGATCAGTAACAGCTTTTGCTTGTGTGATTTTATCTATCAATATTTACCATATATCAGAAGTTAAAATGAAAAATTTGTATACTCATTAATTTATATAAAATAATTTTTAAAACTCTACATGTTAACATAAATAACATTTTATAATAATATTTTCCAGAAAAAGTATGTAAGAAGTGTGGCCTTGTTTTTAATGTTTAGTGTTTTCAATGCCTTTACTTAATGTCTAGCTTAATCAAAGATAATGAGATATTCATATCTGCTTTTGCACCGAATCTATCACCATATGCTCTTTGGCTGAAGTACAGGAATATGAAGAAAATGCAGCCTCACACAGATGTTATAAAAAGGAGAAGAATTTGAATAACCTTTCCAGATAACTGCATCTGTCCTTATTTGATCCTATTCCAGTGCTCAAGTGCCAGATTTTTTTTTTTTTTTTTTTTTTAAGATGGTGTTTTGCTCTTGTTGCCCAGGCTGAAGTGCAGCGACATCATCTCAGCTCACTGCAACCACCACCTCCCAGGTTCAAGCGATTCTCCTGCCTCAGCCTCCCGAGTAGCTGGGATTACAGGCATGTGCCACCACACCTGGCTAATTTTGTATTTTTAGTAGAGACGGGGTTTCTCCACGTTGGTCAGGCTGGTCTCAAACTCCTGACCTCAGGTGATCCGCCCGCCTCGGCCTCCCAAAGTGCTGGGATTACAGGCATGAACCACCATGCCCGGCCTTAGATTAGTTGTAATGTGAAATCTGAAACCCTAGCAATGAAGTTTTCCTACTCTGTTACATTAAAACCTATTGATCTATCTAACACGTCTAATGGATGTTTTCTCATTTATTATTTTGTAACATTATGTATTGGTCATTTGGAAAATATGGTTCACTCAGTTATGCAGATCTTCCAAATACACATTTTTTATACAACGTAAAAGAAAACATATTTGTTAATATCATCACTGATCTCATCAGAAAAGTATCTAAGTTTTGGGGAGCCCTAAAGCTCACAGTTGTGGATACAAGTTTTCCAAAATACCAATTTTCACTTAAAAGCTCAAATTATCATTGGCAACATACATTATGAGTTATTTGCATTGAAGTGGCAATCTGGTTAAGTTCATTTTTCAAAAAATATCTGCCAAATATCCAAGTCTGAAGCACCACAGTTTGTCAATCTATCATGTAAAAAGTGTTCAATGGAATAAAGTGGTGGTTAAGTTCAGCTGTCAAGTCAAACAACAGCCAAATACTTTTCCTCCAGCCAACCATCATACTGATTAGAAAGCACAATGTTACAGTGCTGTATGCATACTTCTTGCTTTGTCACATAAAATACATTAACAAGATATGGATGCTGGGCTCTATGACTCTTGCCTGTACTTCCAGCTACTAGAGAGGCTGAGACGGGAGGGTCACATGAGCCTAAGAGTTTGAGGTCAGCCTGGTCAGCATAGCGAGACCCTGGCTCTAAAAAGGAAAAAAAAAAAAAAATGACTCAAGGGTAAAAAATTAAAAGTAAATCATGCCTTAGCATTATTAGGAAAACAGTTTTGACTCACAGATCCCTTGCAAGTCTGAGACACTCAGGACTGCACAGACCAGATTTCTGAGTATGACTGGGCTAGGAGGAGAGAAATGGCCAGAGACAGCAGGATACACTTTGTACCTACCAGCTGCCAGGTACTGGACAAAATAGAAAAGATGTTCTACATTCATTGTCTCACATGGTAGTATAAATCCAAACCCCTTTTAAACAAGTATTTGTGCCTCCATTTTAAAGGCAAAGAAATACGCTTACAGAAAGCTGCAGAACAGAGCTGGAAGCTAGTCTGTTGACTCCAAAACTCTTGCTTTTTTCCCCACCATGGAAAAGGTATCTTCTTTCTTACTAGCTTTGGTATAGGGAACCCTCTCTTCCAGAGTACCCCCTTACAAGCCATGTCCCCCCTCCAATTTCCTGGACTGTTTCCATTCCTGTGCAGGCCCTTGCCTCCTCGCGTAAAATTATTTCTACTACTGGTTATCTAAATCAGAGGTAACAAAAAACACAGAATATACAGGTGCTTTTCTTCCCAGGGAGCACATCAAGTATTCATAATCTTTACTTTTCAACGAGCCTGAAATTAACCTTAGAACCTTCTCAACTGAGGTCCAGGTAGCCATAATCAATCAGTCAATCAGGGCTAACAACAGAACTGAAATTTGTTTGTTTGCTTTCACCCCAAATCAATAAGAAGCAAATGTGTGGGATCAGAGGGTGAACCTCTTCCTTCCTTCTTTACAAATACAAAAAGTAACTTTGCCAAGAAAATATGTGCATAGCTCCAGGTGGTGTTACCTAGAAAAACTAACATAATTATTAGGAGTGAACACTGTTGACTTCAATTGACCAGTTGGTCTCTCTGAATTCATTACAAGTCCTAAAAGTCTACCAAGTACTTCCCATCTACTTCAAAAGTCTAATATTGACAGTGAAGCTGTTTCCACATTCCAAATTGTGCTTTATTCTTGAAATATAACTGAGCCTCTATAAACCAGTCTGCAATGACTTCCCCAACTGCTTCATCACTTCAACACATTCCCCATCTGAATACTTCTAGTATTTGACTCGGTTCTACCTCATGTTGTACTGGCCTTAGAGTCTAGAGCAGCTGAAGGTATTTTTGAAGTCTGGAACAAAAATCAGGATTGAGACAGAAAAATCTGGCTACAGACAATGAGGACGTGTGCTAGGGGGTTAGGATAAATTTTAATGTCCAATTACATGGTTACAAACCTGTTTATGCCTTGCGCTTTTCAAATAAAGAATCAGATTTTGGAAGGAAGGACACAATCTTTGCCTTGCTCAATTAAAAAAATAGATTTTTTGACTTTAGGATAAGTGGTAAAAAATTTAAAAAAAATAAAAAGTAGATTTTTGTCTTGTTCACTCTGCTATTTAATGGGGCCGGGAGCAGTGGCACATGCCTGTAATCCCAGCACTTTGGGAGGCTGAGGCAGGTGGATCACCTGAGGTCAGGGGTTCGAGACCAGCCTGGCCAACGTGACAAAACTCTGTCTCTACTAAAAATACAAAAACTAACTGGGCATGGTGGTGGATGCTACCAGCTACTCAGGAGGCCAAGGCAGAAGAATCACTTGAACCCAGGACGCACAGGTTGCAGTGAGCCGAGATGGCGCCACTGCACTCTAGCCTGGGTGACAGAGCTAGACTCTGTTTCAAAAAAAAAAAAAGTTTGATGGAAAAAAGATTATTTTACACAATTATCCTTCATGATATATTTTTCAATTATTCATAGTATTTCTAACCCTCATTACTTTAGCTGTCATTGCAGTGACATTTTTCTGGAGACAAGAATTCTCATTATATACTTTCTACATTAGAAACTCCTAATCAGTTCTTACTTGAAATTGTTCTCCTGTCAATCTACCAGAACAAAGGACAAATCATAAGTAATTGGTGAGATACTCAAAAAAGGTGACCAACTGGGCCTCTCACATAAAGGACAGAATGTTTTTTTCTCCTAGCTTGGAAAATTTGTCCTCCTGGAATTAATCAGCCAATGTCTTCTGAAAACCAAAATAAAACAAAACATCTACTTTGTTAAAATCCCTTCACAAGGGAAGACACAAAACTAGAAATACATAAATTCAGCTTAATGACTGGAAGTTGTGTTTTGTCTAGTATTTTACTCAAGCTTACTACAAAATTATAAATTTCCTTTATCTTAACAAGCCACATCCCTGTTCATTTGTTGCTCTTTTCCAAGACCATTGGACAACTTTCGCTACTCCAAGATCCTAAAGTTGTTACCCATCTCTATGCCTTAACGTAAGCTGTTCCCTCTGCTTTAAATGTCCTTACTATTCGTTCTCTGATTAAAGTGCTACTCTTATCAAGCCAAACCTCTGTGACGCTCCCTTTTTTGTTCAGGGGTTCTTCTCTCTTCCCATCCCCTTCCTCCAATCTAGATGCAGTAACTTCCTCCACGGAACTCCCATGCCACTCATTTTCAGTGTCCTCCACTGAACCACTTACAATATTGTAATGAACTCGCTTTTTTCTTCTACCAGACTCTCTGTGGGTTCCTTGAGGGCAAGGATCATGTTTTATTCATTTTTATAGTCTCATCACTTAGTACAGAATCTGATTTAATCTAGATGCTCATAAATGTTGAATGAATTTTGCTATTTCCTATTTTCCACATGTAATTTGCTTCATATTTCTTTTAAAGTTTCAATTCTTTTCTTATTCTCTTTACACTAAAGGTCTCAAACTAGACACACATTGACCATTAGTGACTCTGGAACTCACTTTGTTTTTCAGATCTGTACGCTGGAGCTAATGACACAAACCTATTTTAAAAGCCTATAGTAAAAACAAACGCCTTATCCTCTTGAGAGAAAAGTGCTCATAAAATTGGGGTTTACTTCGGAAAACCATTTTGCAATATTTTATGAAGTTAGACATACACCTACTGGTATGGTTTGATTCTGTGTCCCCCACCCAAATCTCATCTTGAATTGTACTCCCGTAATTCCCACATGTTGACGGAGAGACCTGGTGGGAGATAACTGGAATCATGGGGGCAGTTTACTCCATACTGTTCCCATGGTCGTGCCATTGGAATCATGAGGGCAGTTTACTCCATACTGTTCTCATGGTCGTGAATAAGCCACATGAGAGCTGATGGTTTTATCAGGGGTTTCCGCTTTTGCATCTTTCTCATTCTCTCTCTTGCCTGCTGAGATGTAAGACGTGCCTTTACCTCCCATCACGATTGTGGGGCCTCCCCAGCCACGTGGAACTGTGAGTCAAATTCAACCTCTTTCTTTTGTAAATTACTGGGTCTCAGGTATGTCTTTATCAGCAGCATGAAAACGGACTAATACACCTACCTTATGATCAAGGAATGTAACTCCTAAGCTGGGCTCAGTAGAGCACATCCATTGTCCCAGCTACTCTGGAGGCTGAGATAGGGGA